ATAGCTATTCTTCTTTAGACTCTATACAAAATATGGTCTATTGTAAATATAAAAGTAATTTTATTATATACTACTAATACATACTTTTTTTACTATAACTTAAATCAGAAAAGGTTCTTATTTTATTTTATAGTCTAAGTTAACCTATTTAAACATAAATTAGTTAAATTAAATAACTTTCTAAAAAATGTTTCATAATATTTAACAATATTAGAATACTTATATTTATCTATATATACACTTTTCTAATAATATTGATAATGAAAATCAAGTTTATATATCTATTGATATATAATTCTAACTAAAATACATTATATTGATTTAATATTTTAACTAGAAAAAATTTGTTATTCAAAATAATTTTAATTATAATAGAGTTTATATTAAATTTTTAAGAGTATAAATAAGAAACCAACCAAAAAAAAACTAGCTTTTTATAAAACAGGTTTATTAAAAATAATCTTCTTTAAAGATCTGGTTAAATTAACTTCTTTTTTATACAAATATTTATCTAATTTCTAATATTTTGTACAAGTTATAGTTTATTGTTAACAATGTTTATAATTTATTTTAATATCTCTATTTTATTTAACCTTATAAATACAATTTAAAAAAATAAAGAACTATTAGTAGAACTAAAATAATATAGTATTCCTTAAGTATAACTAGAAATATTATATTTAAGATAATATAGTATTATTAGATTTGGTAAAACACCTTAAATACAGCTTGAATTGTCTTGAATATAATATGAAATAAATCCTATTCTATACCAATTAAAGAATACAGATATAAAAAGACAGTATCAAGTACAAATATGATATTTAGACTTGGGAATATATAAGAAGTAGTAGTAACAAAGACTGGCTTAATATATAAGTTAATAAAATATCCAGATAGAAAAGTAAAAGATTTATCTAACAATAAAATTACCAAATTTATCATATAAAAATCTAACTAGATAGTAGTCTTAGCTTAAAATACATATTATTTAAAAAGATTCTAAGCTTTAACAAAAATTCAATAAAGAAAATAAAATAATAGATACTGTATATCAAATATAAAAACTCAAAAGGTTGAAAACCCAAACAAAACTAATTTAGAAGTTGTATAAATATAAAAAAGTAAGAACAATAGAGAATATAAATTAGCTAGATATAGATAATAGTAAAACTAAATTCAGATAATATATAGATAAGATATAGGTAATCAGATAATATAGAATAATATGATTATATAATGTATAGTATCTAAAGTCAGTTAATAACTGGCTCCTGAAGCAGGTAGTAAACCTTAACTAGTAAGATAAATATGTCTAAACACAACTAAGCAAAATCAAGTTTCAATTTCTAATGTATAGAAATTTTGTTATAACTATAATTCTGAGAAATGAATAAATAAAATATTCAATAGCAATTCCACCAATAGTTTTAAAAAAAATAATAATATTTGATAATAATTACTGTATCATTATCTTATCATTAGACTTATTTTATATTTTTAAGTACAAAATTAATATTAGAATTTAACTAAATTTAACCTCAGGTTAAAATTTTAAATTTTAACCACCAATAATTTATTATAAATTTTTACTTAAATTTAAATTAAAATTAATATTGATATTAAAAAAAGTATTAAACTTTATAGTACTAAACATTTTACTTAGTGCATCAAACATAGTTATTTAAGCCGTTTTTGAGTTAGAATAAAAGGGTGGTTATGTTAACTAAGGAGCAAGTTAGCAATACCCTTAACATAAACTACCGCAAAATTATACAAAAACTAACTTTATTATCACAGAATTTCGCAGAATATGTTAAAAAAAAAAAAAACAGCACATCACATCCCAGAATTTTTCTTAACCGCACGAAGAATTTTGGCTGACTTTTGATTACTAATCAAAAACTATCCAATCACCTCAAGTTGGGCCAAACTTCACGTTGGTCCCTCATATTTTTTTATTATTTTTTGAGAAAAGGTCAGTAATACTGTATGTAATTTCTCATTAAATCAATACCTACCCCAAGTTTTTAACACAATCCGCATCCACAATACCATTGTAGTCTGAAATCTTCGATACATGCCACATATCCTAGTATCAAGATCATAATTAATTTGCAATTTTATGAATGCCACCAATAGAAGACAAGCTTATAACGTTGTATTTATTATAATCTGAATCAGTCTTGAATAAATGAAAAAGTATGTGTAAGTGGGATACATGTTTAGTTGGTTCTCCAAGTTTAGTAATGAACTTAAAGTTAGAAGCTTGGTTTTCTTCTGGCAGCTCATAATTTGCTTCATTACAAAAGCAGCAATTAAAATTCCCATACCTTGGAGTTTTCCCGCTTCAATCATCCACGAAAGTCAAAAAACTAATCACAATATAGTGTCCGGTTAAACCGATAGGTCTATTAAGATGAAACGTACGAGTTACAAGTGTTACCAAGAGACGCAGCCAGGGCGGCCCCCCCTAAGTGCGGATCACGGGTCACTGTCGCCACATTCATGTAATAATAATATAACG